CCGAACCAAACAAGCCCACGAGTGGGTTAGCGTTAGACCGCTCAGCGAGGAGCTGTGCACCACATATGTTGCATTGTACCGTACTCACAGAACAACGCTTTGTAATTGTACTACATAATGCAGTACAATATCACCGCTTCGAGATGGATATCCAGGGCGGGGCGGGGAAAGGGGAAGGGGCGGAAACAGCGGGTGGAGGGGGTGGGACAAAGGCAGGGAAATTTGATGTGGTACTTCAAAGTTTGATGCAAAAAAGCCTGATCGCACCGGCTCGCCTGGTGCGTTCCAGCCTGGGTTTGAAAATGACCCAGCTATGCAAAAATTTAAGTGCCCTTACACGAGAACTACGCGCAAGTGGAGACTGAATTTGAAACATTTAAGTTGTATTTGGACGGGGAATGTTCTTTTAAAACCTCAGCTTTTCTGGTTCCCAAGTTAGCAATTTTCCCAACAAAACTCTCACAGGGCCGCACGTGACCTGAAAGCACATCTAAGGGCTGCGTTTGGAATTTCTAAATTGTACGTGGGCTGGGAACATCTCTTTAAAATCCCAACTTCCCACCTTTCCCGGTTCCCGAGTTAGCCATTTTCCTGCCAAAAAAATTTCACGGAGCCGTACGTAAGAACCGTAAACGCCTGGGGGCTGAATTTGATAAATTTATGCTGTGCTTGTGCTGGGAACATTCCTTGAAAATTTCAGCCTCCCAGTTTTCCTGATTCCCAAGTTTGCGATTTTTGTGCCAAAAATCTCCGCGGGGCTGTACGTGAGAACCACGCACGCCTGGGAGCTGAATTTGATGAATTCAAGTCGTACATGGGCTGGGAACATCCCCTGGAAATTTCAGCCTCCCAGCTTTGCTAGTCCCCAAGTCAGCCATTTTCCCGCCAAAAAATTTCACGGGGCTCCGATAAGCACGGATGCCTGGGAACTGAATATGATAACTTCAAGTCGTACATGCACTGGGAACATTCCCCGAAAATTTCAGCCTGCCAGCTTCCCTAGTTTCCAAGCTAGCGTTTTTCGC